GTCGGCCTGCCCCGTGCCTTGCCTTCACCCTCCCTCCCGCTGCCGTCCTGGACCCGAAGCGCGTGGGCCTGGAAGCACCGGTTCCCGGCCACTGGTGTTTACCGGGCTGCAGTTCCGGCATCCCAGTGCTGGAAACAAACTTCTGAAGGGAGCGGGGGTGAAACGTTCCCCGCTGCCCTAAGCTGAACTGGGCCTGCAAAGGCATTAAGGTCCAGCCCCAACCTCTACCTAATCTTGCTGGGGGATGTGGGCAGAACTTTGGGGTTTCTGGAGAAAATGAGGCAATCTTTGTCCTGGGAAGCTGGGGAAGGGGCTCTCTGCCACAACCGTGGTATAGAGGAAGCCTGATGCAAGGAAGAGGGGAAAGACACAGCGTGGGAAACCTGTGCAAAAGGGTGGATGTGTATTGGAAGAGGGTAAGCTATTGATGCTCTCTTGGGAGAGCTGAAAAGTCTCTCCTGGAGGACTGCAGCACCTGGATAACTGGGGAATGGATGTCTAAAGCAGTGTTGGCACCTGGAGAGGTGACACCTGCTGTCTCTCTAGGTACTGCAGTTCCCAAACTGTTAAACCTCACCTCAACAACAAAAAACCAAACTTGCCAGGACACAGTTCTGTTGTCACAAACCTGGGTGATGACACCTTAGGGTTTTTCCTAGCTAGCTCAATTTCTTGTTTGATCGGCTGTTACCACAGCGCTGCCGGCTGCCCTCCCCGCCCTGCCTCTGGAGCTTACCGTCCTCTACAACTCTCTGCTTTTTACTATGGGAGCAGCTGACTCTGCCATTGAAGGAGAAGCAGAAGGAATACGCCACGGGCTCCTCAGGGGTAAGGAGGTCGTTCTCCGTACGGGGGCTCCTTGGGGCGAGGAGATTGTTCTCTGTGCTTTGGAGATGTGCGTTGACTGGTGGGAGGCGGGGGCCGTGCGCAGGGAAGCCTGGCTCTGCCGGGAAGGGCAGGAGGTGGGGCGGCCTGTGGCCAGGGATGATGTGCAGCTGCCTGTCTGTCTGCCTGCTGCTGCCTGCAGGGATGGCCAGAGGTTTTAAGGGAGAGTTTTCAAGGCGTAAGGTGCCAAGGCTCTAGCAAAGTTTTAGTAACAGTAGAAGATGAGTATTTTCTTTAATTATGGCATGCTGGCTTAAAAGAAAACTCACTGAAATAGGCTGCAGGTCAGAAGGGGATCTGCAGTGTTGGCACATGCTTGCCTGGGGGCAAGTGACCTCAGGAGGACTCGGCAGAGCTGAAGTCATACCTCTGAACTGTGCGTTGTCTCCTGAGCGTGCCACTGTTAACTCCACTGACCAAGAGCTTGGTTTCCATGCCGCTGAGGCCAGGCCAGCTGTGTAACCCCATTCCTTCCCTCTCTATGAGGAGCCTGTGCTTGCTTGAGGCCTTCCCTCCCTCTTGGGAGGGTGTCTGTTACAGGCTGCCAACCTGTTGTCTCATGGTTTGGGTTTTTTCATTTGTTTTTTCAGTTTTGGAGGCTTGTGGGGCCTGTGGGCAGGATCTTAGCACGGAGGAGCTGTGGCAGAAGGTGCTGCAGGAGGTAACTGCGGAGGAGCTGCAGGCACCTTTGCACCGACTGGGGGCCCTGCAGGCAGCGTGGTGGCTGGCAGCCAGCCGCCTGGGAAGCACTGCTGGCCTCTTCCGGCTCCTGAGCAGCACTGAGGTAACCGGGCACGGGCGGATGCTGTGCAGCTCCCGGTTACCTGCACCAGAGTATCTGCGCAGATATAAATACCTGCGGGTTTGCTAAAGGAGGTAGAGCTAGCATAAATATTGCGTTTGTCATAAACCCCACTCTGCAAAACGTTGCTGTGGCATTTGGAGACCTGAACCCGTCAGCGCTGCCCAGTCAGTGTGAGTAATCCTCTCCCTGGTGTCCCAGCGTAGCCTAATGGCCCTGAGCACGTTAATGAGTCCTAGAGTATCTCCTGCCTGTCAGGGCCCTGGACTTCAAGGTGCAAGACAGGAGACTTGGGCAGGCTGGAAGGGGGCTGCAGGTGGACTTGCAGCCTCTGTAGGCAGCAAGCTGTGAGCAGTGGGATGCAGAGGAACCTTCCCTGCTGATTGTGAGGCTGCTGAGGCGTCCCACCTTTTCGAATGCTCTCCAACAGCCTTGGATCTGCCTTGCCAGGAGCCCCTGGAGGTACACCTCACTCCGAGGTGGGGAGGTGCTGCCCCAGGCCAGGCAGGAATCACTGCAGCGAGTGGGTTGCAGCTGAAGCAAGGGGGTGGTAGGACATTGCTCCCCAGCACAGACAGCACTGTCAAAGGGTTTGGGGGGACCTCTGTTTCCTCGTGCTCTGGGATCAATGTTTCCCACTTCCCTTCAGCATTCCCTGCTCTCCTCTGTATGTTCACAGGATCCGGGGAGAGCTCACTGCAGCGAGGGGGAAAATGAACTCCTCTGCCTCCTCAAGGCATGGCGAGTACCTGCTGAGGAGGCCTCCCTGCCCCTTGTACAGAGCACAGAGGACTTGAAAGCGATCCTCTGCACCACAGCAGCTTTCCTGCAAGGTTTGTGCGGAGGAGGTACTCATGCTAGCACAGCCTCCCACTGCTCTCCCATCCCAGGGCCTCCTCTCCCTGCCCTTACTCTGGTTTCTTTTCCCAAGCAAACTGGCCCTTGGGGTTTTCTGGGCTCTTCCTTGGGAAGAGGGCCTGGGCTGAGCCTCTGGGTCTCAACTTTGCTGTTCAGTATCCAAAGAGCTTCCCTGCTTTTTCCCCAGCTAAGCCTTCCTCTGCACTATCACAGGGTTCTTCTGCCTGTCTGTGGCTTTAGGTAGGTGTCTGGGCCCCGCAGTGATCTTGTATAAAGTAGAAGACTGGCAGGGGGCTGATGAGGATTTTCTTTCTGCTGTCTGTCCTCTGGCATTTGCCTTGTTGCAAGCACGTCGTTCTTGTCAGAATACGGTGCTGCGGGAGCCATGCAAAGCTGTTGTGCGGCTTTGTAGCCTGGTGTCGCAGCAGGTGATTGATCTGACTGCTGCATTCTGTCCCGCTCGTGGTTTTCCTTTGCTCGCTGTCCTGACAACCCCAGTAGCTCCGGGGGCAGCCAGTGCTGCCTCGCTGTGCTCAGGCTGACCCGGGGCCGTCCTGCGAGGAGGGAGGGCAGGAGCTCCTGCCCACAGGCCTCTCAAAAGCCTCTAGGGTGGCGATAGCACTTCCAGCGGGGAGGTGGCAGACGTGAATGTGATGTAGGCATGTGACAGCAGCCTCAGAGGGAAGCTTGAAATGAGGATTGAAAGAAAAGCAAATACCATTCACAATAAGTATTCATGAATTAATATCCCAAAGCGTCCTGCTGGGAAATGGCCCAGATGTGCTGGGAAAAGTCTTTTTGAGATTCTGTGTGTGCTTCCCCATCTGCACTGCCATTGCTGTGGATGAATGCGCAGGTGGACCTGCCCAGCACCTGCCTCTGCCCTTGTTCTGGGACAAGGCAGGCACCTTGATATCTGGGCTTGGAAGCTGCTATTATTTCTGCTAGATGCTTCCATCGAGTGGCTTGTTCTCTTGCAACACCATCAAACCAACGATGGCAGCTTGGCACCATCCTGCTGTGCATTGCTGGGTGCGGAGGGGATCAGGCAGGTCCCTATGGTACTGGGAAGAAAAAGGCGTGTATGCTTGTTTGGGGAGCAGGTGGGGTGGGAAGGGGAGCTGCGAAACTGAGATGTTGGGTCTGTCCTAGGGCTGCAAGAGCTGGAGGCTGGGAACTTTCCCACTGCCCTCTCCCTCCTTCAGGAGGCTGCGGGAGGATTCTGTTCCAAGAGGGTCCTGGCCCAGATCTACACCTGCCTCGGCTGCTGCGCTCAGCGAATGGTAATGGCCGGGCCTCTTCGCTGTCAGTGGGGAGAGGCGAAATGCAGCTTAGAGCAGGGTGGGGAGGCTCAGGCTGATGTCCGTGCTGCCTCTGCGTGGTCCTAGGTGCTGCAGGAAGGCGAGGATTTGAGCAGAAGTTGCCCTCGTGGCTCCAGCCTCCTTGGAGAGCTGCAAAATCCAGGGATTTTGTCTGAGTACAAGGGTTGCTGCAGAAAGAGAAGCTCAAAAACCAGCCTGAGGAGGGCTGCCTTTGGCTAAAGTGCTGCCCTTGCTTAGTGGGGATCGCTGGGGAAGCAGAGCAGGGATCTGGATCCCACTGAACAGTAAAGATGTCAGCAAGATGTCCTTGCAACATGTACCTCTTCTCATCTAACTAGGGCAAGCCTCAGACAGCCCTTCAGCACCTGAAACGAGCCCTCCAGGTAGACTTCCAGTGCCTTCCTGCCCTGTCCCACGTGGCAGCAGTGTACCACGAGCTGGGGGAGACCGAGGCGGAGCTGCAGGCCCTGGCTCTGCTCTATGAGGTTTGTCTGCTTCCTGTAGTTCTGGGTTGATTTTTGCCCAGCAGAGCCTGCACAGAGCTTCAGGCAGGCTCCTGCCTTCTGGGGAGCTGTTTGACCCTGGAGGGGTCCCCAAAGTAGATTACAGCGATCCAGCCAGTGGGCAGGAAGGAGCCCAGCGAGGTTCAAAACTGCTCAGCACCTGGCGGTTGGATGTGGCAAGATCTTTGGGTCCCAGTTTATGTTCTTGGTGGCTTGGAAGAAGAGGTTACACTCTCATGTCAGAGAGTTATCAGTCTCTTAATAAAGTATCTAATATTAAAAAGGCCTTTAAAAGGCAGATTGTGGTTGTGAGGGGGTGTGCATTAGCCATAGCAACCTTGGTCTGCCTGGGAGGAGCAGGTCACAGCAGTAGACACCAAGTTAGTTCTTCAACTGTTTGAAATCCATAAGATACAAACACAGCTGTGGAGAGGGATCTCTCTCATTACGAATGGCCTGAGATCTGGTCTAACTAGGTCTGCAGTTGCAATGTGAGATGGTGTTCCAGGCAGCTCAGAGCACGTTGGCCTAAAAACCTGAGGTTATCTGGGTGATCTTGCACATCATCTGATGCTGCCTGGAGGGCAGAAGTCTGCCTGTCCCTGTGTGATCCTGGTTGCTCTTCCTGGAAGCGGCTGTGCTGTACCGAGTGAGAACAGCATAGCTGTGCTTATGAAGTGCAGTGTTTCTGCTCATTCAGGTACATCTCCAGATGCCAGAAGTGGCAAGTGATTGCAGCTGCTTGGGACTTGACCAATGTTGTGTTGACCATATTTTCTGTTCCTGTTACACAGGCTCTGGGAAAAACCCCTCCAGCAGCTGCTTCCTCTAGTCCGTATTTCCTAATCCGAACAGAGCTCCTTGTCCACACACCAGTACTAGCTTCTCTCCTTCGCCATCGCCACCCCTCTGAAGTGAAGTACCTGCTGGCACAGCGGTGTCTCCAGGACGAGAGGTAACAGCACCTCCGGTCTGCTTGCAGCATGCTGCTTGTTTGGGCTCTGCGGTTTTCTCTGTGCTCCTGGAAATCATCCAGTTCTGTACTGCTGTTGTAGGTCTGCTCAAAGCGTGGGTATCATGACCAGAGCAAGTGCGGTGCAGGGAGAGCGGTGGGCTGGCGATCCAGGTTCCACCTGGCTGCTGGCACTTCTTGGGGTTCCCCTGCTCCTTCCACCACGTCCTGTCCCCACTGCAGGGTGGCTGAGGCGGTGGAACATTACCTGGATTTTCTGGCTCTGCTTCAGGAGGGGCTGCAGGAGCAGGTAGGTGTCCTGGTGAAGAGCTCCCTTGGTGACTTGGTAGATGAGGTTTGGATCCCTGTCCCAAGGCCTGGGCCCAGCATCAGCCCTGCACTCCAGGTTTCAGTGTCTAGTTTGAGATGTGAAGGAAACGAGGTGGGGGTTGTCACCTCTGACCTGTGGCATGTCTGCATTGGGATTCACACCAGAGACCACTTGCCACTGCTATTTGGAGAAACAGCTTCCCCTTACCTGTGGGGAGCGGCTGTCAGCCTGGTTTTGGATGTCCTTTGCTTCAGGAGTAGGGATTTGCCACCTTGACTCTGCAGAGCTCTTAGTGCCTTACAGCTTCTGCCTCCTCCAACAAGCTCCAGTGTCTGTGGGAGTGGGTCTGAGCTTTGCTGGGCAGCAGCTCCGGGTTCCCAGTAAGCACAGGGTCATTCTCCTTGGCTGGGTGCTGTGCAGTTCTGCGTCTGAGAACTGCCACCGCTCATGCTCCCCAGGTGCCCCTAGACGGTGGCTCAGCTCTGCCCAGGATCCCCGAGGTGTTCCTGGAAGCAGCGTCTGCCTTGGAGCAGGCCGGGAGGCACCAGGATGCCATAACCGTGTGTGAGGAGGTCATCAGCCGGACGACCGACCTGATCCCACGGATGTTACGAGTGGAGGAGAGGCTGGAGCAGTCGGAGTGCCCGTCGCCAGGGGCAGGGCTGGCGGGTGGGCTCCTGTCCCAGAAGAAGGAGAGACTGCGCTGCCTCGCCTGGAGAGCAGCTGGATACCTGCACCAGGGCTGGGCGTGGGCCAGGCTGGGCGAGAGCAAGGAGGCCGGAACGCCGGTCAGCCGGTTTCCTCGCTGGGAGAAGGGGCCTCCCCGGCAGGCAACAATGGCTGGCGGGGGCCAGAGCAGGGCGCAGCGTGGCATGGGGCTGGCCTGATGACTTGCAGCTGATTTCCCAGCCCAGGACTGGTACTGAAGCTCCTCTGTCCTCTCACCCGCAGGTGCCTCAGCGATCTCTTGCGAGTTCAGCTTTATGGGTCCGGTGTTGAACCGGCAGGTAGGACGCCACACAGCCGGGACCTGCGCGGGCCCTGGCTGGGTTGGGATCTGCGTGCTTGGCAGGAGCAAGGTGCCGGGGCTGGCGTCACCTCTGGCAGGAGGCGCTTGTCCCAGCGTGCCGAGCTCTGTGCCACGCTGGAGCCTCTGAAAGGACTGGCTGGTTTGGTTGGAGCAGGGTTTAGCCTTGGCTCTGCCTCCTTCCCTGCAGTCTAGGCGACAGTTAAATGGGTTGTGAACCAGGAAGCTTCTCAAATCCAGATTTCAGGGAAGAGAGCTGTACCAGTTGTGCAGATGGGCAGCCACAGGCCAGGCTGCTGCCGAGGTCCCTGTTCCCCCAGAGCCATGTAACATACCAAGCTCTTGGCGTTCTTCACTCAGCCTACTGGAACGAGGGAGGGAATATCTGGAGGATGCTCTCTCCAGGTCCGTCTGTCTTTCCATGTCAGAGAGTCTCCTGCCAGAAGTGGAGGTGCTCCAGAAGATCAGGTTGCTCTCTCTCATCGGGAGGGGCGCACAGTTCCTGGAGCTGGGGAGGCACAAGGAAGCCTTGTTGGACTTCCAGCATGGTTTGCAGATCTTGCCGGGTAAGAGGCTCATTTTGGTGAGGAACAGAGGATTTCCACAAATTCGTCCTGGCCTACTTTGCTGTCTTGAGCAGAAAGGTCTTATGCTTTAGACCACACTTATTCGGATATCAAGGACTACAGTAGGGCTACGAGCAATGTTATGTACTTGAGATGCTTCTCTGGGGCCTGGTCAGCTCTCTGCCCTGGAGAAGCAGATCAAACTATTGTCAGAGGACTGTATCAGAACCCTGCCCACAGCTGTGCCCTGAGACAGCTTGGAAATTTCTCTTCTTCCTGCCCAAATCCCAGCCTGGTCCAGCCAGCTTTCTCACGGGGAGGGTCTGCTTTCCCAGAACAGCAGCTGGACTCTCGCTTCATCCTAGGAAGCGGCGTGTCCATGCCTGGCAGTCCAGAGGCCGAGTACAGAGGCCCAGCAAGGGAGTAGGGAGCAGAGCGGGGAGCCATACACGTCCCCGGCACAGCCGAGGTGCTGCCAGGGGTGACCCTGTTCAGCGCTCCAGCTGTGCTGACACGCTGCAGGGGCACGAGCTTCGCCAGGAGCTGCCAAACCTGCTGGTCCCAGTCCTGACGGAGGCTT